TTATTGAAAAATATTATCAAATCATACTTTATCAACTAGTCTAACTAAGTTAAATAAATTATTATTAATTAATATTTAAAAATTAAAATAATATTTATCTTATAAAGTTATAAATAAAAAATAATTTAAGAAGTATATTACTATTATATTATATTAGAAAACTAAAAAAATAAAGAAAATTTTTATTAGAAAAAATCAAATTCTATATATTTTAAAAATATTTTAAAATCATCACACTAATTCAATATTATTAGATAAGTATTTAAAATAATTAGCTAAAACTTTTTAATTTATATTTAAGACTTCAAAATAGATATAATTTTACTTTATGTAATATATCCAGTGTTTAAAATTAATATGCAGAATATTCACTTTGAGTATAATAATTTATTTGTATACAATATAATTTTAATTATATGTACTAACTGATCTTAATTTTTTATTAGATGTACATTTGTATACATAAAAATCATAAATTTTGTGACTAAATGTGTGATATGATTAGATCAATTTATAATTTTTTCTATATGAATTTTTTTTGAGAAATTTTTTTTTTTTTTGTATATAAAAAAAATTTGATCAAATTTTTATTCACTCTATTTATATTAAAACTTTAAAAAATATTATATAATGGATAAATTGATTATTCACAAAATAAACTCTAATAATAAATTTTTAATAAAAAATAAAAAAATAGGAAAACAAATAGACAAGAATTAAATAAAAAAGTATATGAAGATTTTGATTCAAATTGGTTATAAATTTATCTTTGACTTGAGCAAAGTAAGATAATAATAGAAAGATGATAATATTTTGTAGCTGATATAAAAATACAAAAGAAATATTTTTATAATAGATACAAAATTATATCGAAAACAAACACTTAAATGTCATATAGATATTGAGGATTATAAAATTATTATGGTAGCTCATTATAGATTTCAAACTTTAATTATATAAGAATTTACTTGACAACTTAAAAAAGAAAAATTAAAAATAATTAGTCTTATATGTAATATATATTATTTTTCAAAATATAGACAAACCTTAAATATTTTTCAGAATTATGTCAATTAATTTATCTGCAAATTAATAATTAAAATAAGCTTCAATATTAACAAAAATCATGTATTATACAAAATCAAATTTGGTAATTCTTATAAATAATGCTTTGAATAATTATACAACTTATGAAAATTCAGTTGTAGTATGGGATTTTTTGAAGTATAAAATATCACTATTGAAAGAAAATAATAAATGATATCAAAAATTCTAAAAATTAGAATATTATGATTAATGAAAGTATATGCATTACTGTAAAAATCTGGTAATTATGATTAAATATATAGCAAAATATTATTCTAATTTTACAATACTTAGATATAATTAAATTAGATGATTATAATATAGAATTAATTATGAATGAACTTCAACAATTTATATTAGCAAAGTTACTTGATATAATATTAGATCATCAAAATGGAATTATTATAAGATTAAAAAAATTAACCTATTTATAATAAAAAATCATTATATAACTTACAGATTACATCTTGCAGATGAAAATACTGCAGAACAAGTTTTATATTTTAATAAATATAATAAAATATTAAAAAATATTTATAGATATTTTAGTAATTTATACAAATAGTTACTTAATCTCAAATTAATTAATAATACATTAGAAGAACTAGAATTAGTTTTCCTAAAGATTATCTTAATAAGGTAGCTTTCTTTTTCAAATATTATTAATAATTTTTATAAAATTTTTGAATCAGTAAAAGAAGCATTTCTTGAAAATATATCACATAATACTATAGTACTTGAATTATTATTCACTATTGATAAAAAATTTAAAATTATTGTAATATTTTTAGCTGATTTTTTCTTTATTTTGAGCAAATTAATTTAAAATTTTCAATCAGATTATGTAACTTTATCAGATATTTAAAATAATTTGAATATGATAATTGATATTATTCAATTATAATTTATTAAAAATAATAATGTAGATCTTAAATATAGAACTAATTTGCAAAATTATTTATTGTAAAATAATATATTAAAATCAACTATTCCTTCTTTTATTTATAATTTTTCTAATAATATTATTACAAGTTTAAAAATTATTTTTTAAATTAAGAGTTATATTAAATTATGCGAATTTATAATTTACAGCAAATTTCATTAGATAATAAAGATTTTATAGATTATGGTAAAAATAAAATTAATATTTTATGTAATTTTTATAGAATTGAAAAAGTACAAGATAATATAACATTTAATTTATTATTAGATAAAAGGGTTTTAAAAAATGAATAGGAATTAATTATACTTTATTTAAAAAAGTTTTAAAATTTACATTTTATTGAAACATGATAAAAAATCTTTTTATAAACATCTTTTATTTATAATTACCTTACCACTTCTATGTTAGTAAAAATTATTTTAGTAACTCCAATTTCAAATATAAATGTTGAATAATTTCTTTCTTAACAAATTTTATTAAAATTTAAATTTATAATCAAATAAATTTAAAAACCTTAAATAATTATTTAATGGTAAAAATGAATAGTCCTTCTATTAATTTATTTGATTTTGAATTAGCTTTTAAGCATTAGTATTTTAAAGAATAACATGTTTAATAAAATTATAAAATTATGTTAAATTTTTAATAAAATAATAAATATTATTATAAATATTTTTTTTATAACTGCATATTAGCTTACTAATAATATATGGTTAATGCATTTTAAAATTATAAGAATATATTAGTATTATATATAATTTTAAATTTAAATTTTAAATACTGAGTATATTTACTCACAAGTTAAAAGAAAATACATTTTTTAATATACATCTTACAAATTACTTTCTAATATGACTTTATATTTTCAATCATATAATATAAAAATTATTCATAATTTTAATGTAAATACAAAAGATCTTAAATAAATTTTATATTATAAATATAAAAAAATTTAATTTACAAATAAAATAATAAATATAAATCCTGAAGATTATTTTTATAAATAGTTAAAATTATAATAAAAAAGCAATTAAATATATATTAAAAATATGAAATTTAATTAGATTAAAAACTATTACAAATAATTAAAAAAAACTAGATATCCTTTTTTTAAATACTGATAATAATGAAAATATTAATACTAATTTACTAATTTTATTAAGGATGATTGATCAAATATAAGACCTTATTGATTGATTAACACTTAATATGTATGAAATTCTGATTTCTGTTAAAGAATATTTTACAATATGAAAAAGATAAAACAAATTATCAAATGATGATTGATAAAAAATTATAAAAATATTAAAAAAATCAAAAAAACTGAATATTAAAGAGCTAAAAATTCTAGACATTAATAATTATAAAGCATAAATAGTATTTAATTAAATAATTGTATATATAAAGCAAAAAATTCATAAATTTAATTTTTAATTTTTAATAATTAAATTTAAAATGTATAAAATTGTAGAATAAGAAAAATTCTATTCTAATAATAAATTACTTAGATCTGTGTTTTATAACTAACATTAATAAAATTAGCAAATTAATTCTTAATAATTTATTTATAATTAAAAAAGTAAAAAGATTTATTTTTGCAATTGAGCTTATATTTAATTAAACAAATTGATTATTAATTAACTTTTTGAATATATAATTATATATATCAAATTTGATAATAATCTTTAATCATATTTGTTTTTAGCAAGTAATCTTAATTTATTGTTAATTATTATCTTAAAAAATGCTAATGTAAAAATATCATTTATTATAATTATATACTAAATTTAAATATGATATTTAATATTACTATATAATAAATAATTATTTAAAATTTGATAAATAATAATAAATCTTAATTAAAATTTATTATAAAAACTTGAATTTATAAACTTTTATTTTCTATAAGTATTAAAATTTTTAATAAAAAACAAAAATAAATTAATTTAAATTTTAAAATAAATATTAAGAATATTTTTAAAAGTAGTTATAATCATAATATTTACAAACTTTAAATAAATTTCAGTTGATTTTTATTAATAATTTTTTTTTGATTTTAGTAAAAAACAAATAATCATATAATTTATCAGTAAGTAAATTATTAATAATATTAAAATTTTTTAAATAATATTAGTATATTTAATATCTTAATTATTATTTTTTTCTAAAAATTATATAAGTTAATACTATTAAAAAAAATTAATACATTATATAATATATATTATTGTTAAAAAAATTTAATACATTATATAATATGTATTAATGTATTAATATTTTTAATAATAACCGAATTATACATTATACTTTAATGGGTAAGGGCAACAATATCATTTGATTGAGTCGATCCATTTTACTATATAATCTAAATGGGTTTGCCCATATTCCTGCAAAGACCGCAATTCTGCAAGTCAATTTAGATTTTTCTGATTGTGGTATTTTTTTTGTGAGTTCAGCATTTTTTATCACTAGTATATTTTAAAGTATCCCGCTCAAACATTTATTAGAGTCCAAGCGGGTCCCGCACTAGCGTACGTACATATCTTTTTACCAATTTTTTTTTTTTTTTTTAACATTTTGGAAGAAGAAATATTTCCTTCTCTGTGTGACTAAATGCCATCCAACTGCACTTTCCTCTTCCTACCTTTTTAAACCGTTTTGTACTAATAACTTTTCGTTTTTATTCTTTCCTTCAATCCTACTTGCTAATAAATACACATAAATAACTGTTTACAAAAAAAAATAGACCTCTATTTTAATCGAGCGCCAAAGCTACCACCTTTTTCGATATATAACTTCACATTTTTTAACTCGTAATTATATAGCATACGAACACCCAACTACAGAACAACCTTAATTATACGAATAACCATACCCTTTTTAAAGCTTTTCGTGTTGAAAAGTAATCTTTTTTGACGATTCAAGAAAATAAACATATTTCATCGTTATGAACATTCAAGTAAACCCGCTTAACATGGACGGGTATCAAACTGTTTCTGATGATTCTAGGGCCGAACAGGTTGGTTGCTGAATCAAGCTTAACATTATATGCAGACTTTTTTTTTTTTTAAAAAAAAAAAAGGTTATTAAGAATCGAAATTAAATGTATAATTATTATTTTATTCAATACATGATACTTTGATATTTTCAGGCTTATTATAATTTTTTCAATAATTATCTTTTTAATATAAACAATTACTTTTAAGGCATAATTTCAAATATAAATTTATTCTTATATTTTATAGATTTCACAAAATAAACATGCTATGAAATCAAAGTTGGAGCAAATTTTCGTAGATTTTGATAAAGATAACTGTGGGAGAATTGCTACCAGAGATCTCCTCTCTATGATAGAATTATTCGAACGGAACCAATCCGAAAGTCTTTTAAATGACGAAAATAGACCCACATTTCAGAATTTCTGTGAACAAAATCCTGATATGGAAGTTTCAGTTGATGATGTGATCCAACTCATAGATAAACTTCGGCCATCAGTCCCTTCTAATAATAATAATAAAGTTACATCTGGTCCTATTACTAAAACCAAATTTAGATCATTTCGGAGTAATTTGCGAAATAGGCCAAATGCACCTAGAGAAGCCATGCTTCAAGAACCTGATGTGTGTATTATTGCAAGTTTTCGACTATTCGAATCGCAATATATATGCATTTAATATTATTATTCTCATATAACAAAATTTTTTGTTTTTATCACGTAGGGAGACGATCATTTTAATCCTCGAAATATTAGTGCATCTCCAAGTCGTTCCAGACGTTTATCTGCGTCCGGATTTTATGAATCACCTGCCATGATTTCTTCATCTTTTGCTAGTCCCTATGACACACCGGAAGAAACTATCGAGTCTTTTGAGGGGAATGGTGGAATTGACGAGGCCGTTTCTAATTTAATAACAAGTGTATGGTTACTATCATCTTTGTAGGAATAAATAAAGAAAATTATTTGAAAAATAATTTTTTTATACAATTTATAGAATAATAATGACGATCCTGCTGTTCAACTCAGTCGCCTCTACCGTCATACCGTTGATCTTACCAAGCGCCTCAAAGAATCTGAACGTCATTTGGCTTCCGTAGCCCGTCAACATGAGGATCGTATCGAAGAATTGCAACACAAATTAGATGAAACAAAAGCAGACCTGGCCGCTAAAAAGCGTGAAATTCAAGAACATAAAGGCAAAGAAAAAACGAATTTGCACCAAATTTCTTCAGTATATATTATATTATTTTTATTTATAATCAATTTCCTATTTTAAGAAATTATAATTTGATTTTATAATCACATTATTAAATTCTTAAATTTTTCAAGTAGTAGATAAACTTAGATATTGGTCTCACTTTTATTTTCATTCTTACAACCTAATATTTTAGTTGGAAGGAGAAATATCGAAATTAGCAAAGAATTTAACTAGCCAGAAGCAACTTTATCTCCATTTTAAGACAAAATACGAAGAACAATGCGGTACACTAAAATCATTTATTTAACTATTGTTATTTAAATAAAATTTTATTTATTAACTCTTTTTTTTTTTAAAAAAAAAAAAAAAAAACAGTGGAAGCCGAAAGTTTGAAAGGACTTGTACGAGAAAAAGAAGATGAATTGAACAATAATCAACGGACGCTTAGTCAATTTCATGATCAAAAACAGACGGTATGATATTGATTATTATTGTTTATTTATTTTTAGTTAGATATTATCCTTAGCATGATCTAATCTTTTGTTTTTTAAAAAAAATTTCAAAAGTGGATTGATGATCGTGAGCGTTTAGAAGATAAATTAAGCAAACTGGAAATAGCTGCTCAAAGACTTGAGGCCGAACTTAGTAATGAGAATTTGCACTTAAAAGAAACTATTGATAAATTAAAACTTGAGTTGGAAGAAATGGAAAGAAGTAGCAGAGTGTTAAATGTTAATAAAAAATATCCTTTGTTTTATCTTTATGAATACTTTTTCATAAGATTATTTTAGCATATTATCCTTAATATAGGCTTACTGAATTTGAAGCTATCAGTGAAATTGATAACATAAATAACAACAAGGTAATAAATTATTTAATATATATAAATTTTTTTTTTAAAAAAAAAAAATAAAAATAAAAAATCTAATTAAAATTTACGATAAATAATAGAATAATCTGGCAACAGAAATAATTAATCATGCACTCGCGTCGATAGAAGAAGGTGGTTCAGACTCAAACACAGATGATGTAAGGGATCGACAACTTATTAAGGTAGCTGAATTCTTTTTGTTAGAAATTGCTATATTAAGAAAATATGTTGACAAAATTCATTACTAGACTCAACGAAGGCGTAAAGATGACACATCAGATATAAACGCTAGTGAAGAACAATCGCATTCGCGATCTGGTGAATTAGACAGATATCGTGGTACAGATATCGACCATACAAGCCGAAAACAAAGTGGATCACGAAGTCGCCGTCAAGTAACAGATGTGAATGGAATTACACGAAATACCTCTGGTAGGGATATCGAATCTCAATATCAAATATTATCTTCAGAATTAGGGGTTCAATATGCCTTGATTGAAGGTATTTTAAGGAACCGAGATATGCCAGGTCCACATGATAAGAGAGATAGAGATAGACAAATTAGGAATAGTGTTGACGGAGATAGTACCGATCTAGTGAGACATTCTAAGCTTACACGTCAACCAACAAAAAGAAGCAAGCGACGAGGTTAATCTTTATTAATTTTTAGATTAATAATTTATTTAATACATGAATCTTCTTTTCGTCATTAATTGTACTAATAATACTATTCGATAATTTTTCATTGAATATTGTAGCGCCAGTCCCAGAAATAGAGGTATGTGACTTGAATTCAGAAATTTTTGTTATTTTGATTTATTATTCACCTTTCTTAAATTATAGCCACAGTCGTCGGAAAAAATCGAACAGGCAATGCAATCTTCAAAAGCCCTTGTTACGCGTAATCAGAATATGACTGTTCAGCAGAACAATGTGGTGGTCAACAGCACTGTTACATTCGAATTATACACACTTGTAATCTATCTTTTCGGAATTATTACATCTGTGTTTGTTCTTGATAACAACCAAGGGGCCCTTACGTATAGTGATTGGTTACCTCATGACGTAGTCGATGAAAGCTGGACTATGCGTTCATTTCAAATTATATTGTATTGGATCGAAACATTATTAAATGATGGAAATATGAGAGTTCCTACGTAAAATAAATCAGAGACTTTTTTTATTTTATTTTATATATTTTTATTTTTATATTTTTATTTTTTTTTGTTAAATATGTAGTCAATATTTCTTTGATTGTGGGATGTCATCGATTTAAAAGTCGAAAAACTTGAATATTCAACTTTTTTTTTAATGTCAGTCCGTTCTTTCTCTCTTTTTAATTGTTTAACAAGTGGCATTTATACACTTGATTTTGTTTTATAATTTGTATTATAATTGTTGATCTTGAGTTTGCAATCACTATCATTCTTCCATTTACCTAAATCTTCCCCTTTTTGAAAAATCACATTACAGTCGCATTATTTTATCATGGTATATATATATATATATATATTGGAAATCTCAACTTTAGATTTTATCAATTTGGAGGGCATATATTAGTGATATTTCAAAAAAATTTTCCAAATATTTTTTTTTTTTCTTTTAAAAGAAAAAAAAAAGAACTGTCTTTTACCTAATTGGAATTTTTGGGTGATAAGAATTTATTATTCGATATAAATATAAATATTACTCTAATTGAAATCAAATATTATCGTAATGCACCTACCTATACCACATTTTTTCTAATAATATCAAAAATAATTCTGTGTAAGAGAGCAAGTTCACCTAATTTTGTTTTTCAGATATCTCGGAATTTATTTTCAAATGTAATCGTAAATGTTGTAAAGGATACAATATCATATTTTTAACATACCAAGTATTATTATATACGGACAATGAAAAAAAAATTATCACCTAAGTTCAAACAAACCAACTATATAACGATCATTTAAAGAATATGATTAACCTTTTATTTTATAATTATTATTATTATTAATTTTTTTCTGTTTTTTTTTCTCGTTTTTTTTTTTAACTTTGACCTCGTTCGCTAGAAGTTCTGTCCGAACTATATAATCATCTTTATTCAATAAAACTTTTAAAAATTCATTGGTAATAGACAATTCTCAGAAATAAACTTACGAATAACGTCTGTCATCATGACTATGCCTCCTATCTCTTTCATCATCAGAATATCTCCTATAATATCTATCATCACGATCACGTCTTGCAGGTGTTAATGATCGCTTAGGTGAACGAGAACGAGATCTACAAAATATCAATATTATGTTAAAAATTTCTATTCGGGATCAAAGAATAGTGAGATAGGGTTTAAAGAGGAACTAAATCTCGCTGAACATTATACATATAAATATTAAATTTATGAACATTTCGGCGGGAAAGAAAGCTGACGGTGATTCTTTGAAACGGAATTCAATATTTCGACCATTCAAATTTCCGAGAGCTTTCAGATACGGACAGGGTTTTAAACCACCATTATTCAATAATCTTAGGTTGGTCGGACTGATACTCTGGTAGTCTTTTGAATAGTATATAATTCTTCCCGCGGAACAATTAAATTCCAATAAAAAATGTAGGCTCATCCTCCTGTCCCAAGCACTAATTTTTTAGAATAATAAAATGTTTTTCTATATATAACTTTCGGCTAATGTGAAATAAATTATTGTCCTGACCACACGGTTGAAACGGATTCGTCGAACACTGACTATGGTCTAGCTGATTTAACAAATTGAACTTCTCCCCAAACCTAACAATTGTCTTTCTTGAAAGCAATATAAAATAAGAAAAATATTAACATAAAACAATCTTAACGAAAACAAACCTTTTTCTTGGACTCTTGCTCCTTCGCCTTTCTCTACGGCTCGAACGGCAATCCTTTGCCCAATGACCTTAAAGATTTTGTAGGTTAGAATTTAGATTAATATTACCATTTAGAAGGCGAAAGCAGTATGATATTACCTTCTCTACCACACTTAAAGCACTGATTTTCGGCTAAAAACCAAAGATAATTATTTTTGTTAATATGATACTGCTGACAATTAATAATTATTTAAAATCGATGTATAATGCTGTTTAATGGAATTTTTGTTTGATTCAAAAAAATTTACCTGGTTTTCTACCACCATTTTTTGCCCATTCAACAACAATACGATTTCCGCGTACTCGCTAATAGAAATTATAATAAAACGAAATTATAAAAAAAAACTTTCTATAATTAAAACCTCATTTTAAATGTCCATACTTTAGCTTAATATACACACCAAACCATCAGTTTCTTTCATTGCGTCAGATGCATCTCTCTCGTCTTGATATTCAACAAAAGCGTAACCTCGTTTCACTTCCAATCGATTAAGACGTCCATATTTGTCAAAGATATGTTCAAGATCACGAGGGTGAGTATCCAATGATAACCTAAGATTTAAGTAGAGGGTAAATAACAAGGACCAAACTTTATAATAGAAATTTTGACGAGTACCTTCCAATAAAAAGCGCCATTCCCTTGGATAATATAAGGAATTCTAATTTACAAATTTTTGCTCGTGTATTCAAAAAATAATTTGTTTGATCAACAGCCGAACTTTATTTTTAGTTCAGATCTGCTGATGCAATGAAAATCATGAAAATTTTTTATCCTTCCGTAATCACAAAAGTTCAATGTATAAAAATGACAAAGTTTATAAAGTAATCAATGTTGCTTTTAATATGGCTAAAAAAATACAATATCAAGAATAATTTATAAAAAAAAAAGAAGAAATTATTGTATGTTCTTTATGTTTAAAGGTTTTAAAAGGTTTAATTAATATTGCACAATTAATAATAATAGAACAAAATATTCAAATATACGATGTAACTCAAATTACTATCGCTAAAGAGTTAATAATCAATTTAGTTAAATATATTACCTGACGTTGTTTTTGCATCACCTCGCACATATAGAATATCGCTCTAAGTCCTAAGTTTAGGCTTAGGATTTAAACTATCAAGAGAGAGTATGCATTTATAGAAGCGTTACCGTATATAAATCATTTTGTTATTTTTGCTATTAATTTATTTGTTAAAAGAGTTTAATTTTAACTGTTATAATAAATTATTTGCTTTATTTCGACGCTCTTCTTCTTTGGTGTAAAATTTAGCCCTCTCAAGACAAAATTATAGGTGAAAAGGTTGTCACTGCTTTCTGGGTCTTCCTCACAGTGATGGTAACAGGTACGGTGCTAGAAGCTGATGGCGGGCGGTGATTGAGTCAAATAGCTTCATTGCGGTTAATAAAATACCATTCTTCAGGTTCTCCAAGTTTTGATGGTGTTGGTAAAGTATCTAGAATTTCTGTATATGTCATGCGGGGGCCTGCAAATTCTTATGTTAGACAATGATTTATTTTATAATCGACAAATGATTATATACCTTTCATATCTAATATTATAACAGGATTTCTAAGCGAATTTTGGCAATTATCAATGAATTCAATGAAGGCTTCTTTAGAGTCGAATTTCACTTTTTTATTCTCAATAATAAAGTCTCCACCATTGAGCCCATAAGACCGAAAAGTTTTTGAAGGCCTTCAAATAATCTAACAAGATCGTTCCATGTGCTGTTTTTCATAGGAAATACCCTTGATTGATTATACTGGTAGTATATAGCTAGAGATAAGAAATAGCACAAGTTATCAAACATTCTCTAGATGAAGAAAAAAAGAGTATATATCCGAAAGTAGTTACTTACCCTTCTCTTTGACTTTAAGTATTTTCGTCGATTATTAAATAACAAGAATGAAAGTTAAAACAATGTCTGTCTCGTTCACTCGCGTTCACCAAAATTTATTACGACTCACTTACCGGTGGCAACAGGTTGCTCTACGATAACGCGAATGATTTTTTTGGGCGGGTTTGACGATAAGAAGCAGGAAAGAAAAGCACAAGAATAAGTAAGTTATTGGCGAATATGACAGACGAGAAACAAGCCACATTATCCATGCTTTGATAAAATCTGAGAGAGCATACCAGGCGGAGATATTAAAAACCTCAAATAAGTACGTTTATCTTCGTCTGTATCGAACTCATCAAGGCAAGATACTGCAACAGCAATTTTTTCTACATGTTCGGTAAAATGAGCGAATAAACTTATTTTTTCGCCTGAGACGAACCCAAGGCGCTTTATTTCTCCTTTTAGAATTGAGACTGGATCAGACATGTTTTGGTCTTTTGCGTGATCTTTTGCTTTATTAAAAGCTAATTCAGTTAATCTTCGAAAATCTGAAGAATTTTTGGAACATTGGTAAACAGAACAAGGGCCAAGCAACTTTTGAGGCGTGATGTCTATCTGTCGCAGATACCGCGTTTCGATTTTTATTATGGTTTCGTTTGTCACTACCCAATAGTCATGTGCGTGATTTTCACAAAATGACGTTATTAATGCATTTAGTATAAATATTCTACTTTTTTTTACTCTTAGAAATAAAAATCAATCTGGTATTTTAAAAATGGTGAACGGGGACCACGATAACATCGAGAACAGCCATGCTAGCGAGGGTAAGATTATTGTGCATGTAATAGTTTTCCAGTTTATTAGTGACTTACACTGTCCATTTTCAGGAAACGGTAACGATATACCTTTCCATCTAAAAAGAACTTGTGAAAGTCTAACTAGGCGGCAGAGAGAGTTATACAATAGCTGTCCCTCTCGTGATACTAGAATTATTTTTTTAGAAGCGATTATTGAAGAAAGAAAAAAATCAGTATGTTTTTACTTAGAATACTAATATATATATTTTCAAAGATTACTATAATTTATATTGACATTAGTTTTTTCGTCGGATTTTCTTTCCTACGAAACCTAATAGGAAATCGGGTCTGAACTAATTGGCTTAGTCTTATACACACTTATCACTGATCTTATCGTTTTAATATATGGATTATTTTTCAAGAACGAAGAATCCACAAAGTATTTTATTGTCTTGTTGAATAGTGTCTACTACATAGCTAAAATTGTTATATTGGGAACCAGTATGGAAAGATTAGGAATAATTTATGATAATAAAGTCCGTGCTTATATAGCCATTCCAATAATTGTGTGGACATCTTTGGCGGTCAATAGAAAAGGGGGAAATCTACAAATTTTGAGTAATTTTAATTATTAAGCTAGTTTTGTTCACATGACCATGATCAGCGGAGTGAACCCCACTATAACTGTTACATTTGTGAATGTTGGAATAGAAATGGCCAAACTTATTGTTAAATTCTTTGTTTGAACCTCTACCGTATTCTTGCTGAAATAGAAAAAAATGCAATAGGAACATAATGTTTGACTATTCTTTGTCTGAACATCTACTGTATTCTTGCTGAAATAAAGAAAATTGCAATAGGGCATAATGTTTGACTGCTTTGCAAACAATATAACATAAAAAATACATGAATTATCTTGTATAAAATTTAGAGAATGATGCGGATCGCACTTATTAAGAAATTTATTTCTGATGCGTATATTTAAAAAAATCAGATCCTAAGATTGACTTATAGACTGGTCCTAGAACTAACTTATAAACTGGTTCAGTCCTAAGAAAAATGAAAGACTGATCTTTTCGGACTGGTCTAACTTTACGATCAGACTTAAGTTCTTAAACTTATTACAGTCAGAACTCGATATAACGAACCTTCCATTCAAGGTAATCTCAAGTCGTTATACCAAATATTCGATAAAACAAATATTCTTATTATATCAAACTTAATATATAAATTTTTTATAATTCGTTTTATCAAGTTTTTTTATAATAAATGTTTATTTATTAGTAAAAAAAATGTTATATTATATTTATAAAAACTAACTATTATTAGAAAGAATATTACAGTAATAAAATCCTTATTCAAAAACTATAAATTCATCTAAATTTAATTGAAGTGCAGATCTCAGGATTTTTTTTCTAATACCCTTCAAAATCTTTAATTCATCACCAGTAACTTCATAACTTTCTGGTGGAAAATTATAAAAGGTAATTAGTTTTTCAATACTATTTAATGCATCACTTAAAGAAATATTAGAAATAACTTCTTCTTCATCTTGTGCCATTTCTGTATCATGACTTGCTTGTACAGTTTCAACAATTTCATCATCATCTAATAAAACATCATCTTCAGTTAATTTATCAGAATCAATATATTCTAATGCAGGTAAAATATCATCATATGACAACTTTTGTATAGCACTATTTAAGTCGTTTTCATCATTCTCCTTATCAAATTAAATTCTGCATCTACATCTTGATCACAATCTGATGGAATAATACCAGTTTTCAACCAGCAATTTTTAATAGTATTATAATTAACCTGATTTCATACTTCAACAACAAAATCAATAGCATTATGAATGTTAACAGGAACAATAGATATATTTAACTGTTGTGAAATATCATATTCTTCAACTCTATTTTCTACTAACAGTTTTCTATACTTGGCCTTAATTTTAATAAAAAATGTTAATAAAAATACTAAAATACTATATAATTTTAAAAGTAAATTTAGAATACTTACTTTAAAAGAATTAATGATTCCTTGATCCAAAGGTTGTAAATATAGAGTTGTGTTAGATGATAAATAATAAATTTCAATATTACTAAAAGAAAGCAATTCATATTATTTGTCATGTATTGAAGCATTATTAACTAATAATAAAATTTTTCTATGACGAATACATATCAATTTATTTAATTTTTTCAAATAATCAAGCCAAATTGATTGTTACATTCAAACCTTTTCCTTTCTAGTTCAGAACTAGAAATAAATAAATATTCAGATTTCTTTTTTAAAATATTACTAACCATATTAGATGTAATATTGTAATAACAAGCAAGTTCAATATTTTGCATAAATGGATTATCAATTTTTTTTTGGCAAAGTTTTTGCTTTTGAGTTACAAATAAAGTAATTCCCTTAGTTTTATTTTCAATAAACATAATGGTAATAGAAGAATTAATAAAAGAAACAAAATTTTTTATTCTTGCAATTATGACATATTTAATAAATATATTACTTTACTATATTTAGTAAAGATTGATAAAAAATCAGCATATAGAATTAAAAAAAACTTCTTATAATGATGATCATTATATAGAAAAAAATTGTTATCAGTTTATCATGAATAAATACATATAACTGGTTAATAACTAGACTTCAGTAAAATTATATCGCAAAATTTATAATAAAATTAGCATATTGTGATAAAATTAATTATAGGTGGATTTGATTTGAAAAAAAATTTGTTATAAGCCAAAATCAATTTATTCTAAATCATTATATCAAGTTCTGACTATATATACTTTAAGTTCATTTGACAAGACTTTTAAGTAATGCTTAAAATAATACTTTAAATTCTGATGAAATCCAGAATTTTTAAAGAATTCCTGATAAAAAATTTCATGTTCTGAATTTTTTTTCAAAAAAATTTTGAGATCAACAGATATTTATCATAGAGAAGAAAACAGATCCTATGTTTTTCCTATTCAGGTCTATGTACATAGTAATATGAGTCTTATGATATAATTTTTTTAAATAAAAATATTAATAATCCTCATAAAGTTCTTATTTTAAAATCAACAAAACACTTGCCTATGATACTCTTTTTGATTAAATTGATTTGTGCAATTTTGACTGCAGATTTAATATAGAGTATTTCTAATCTTAATCTTAATCTTAATCTTAATTTTAATCGATTAGGTATACTCGTTGATTGCGAGTAGATATTAGATTCAGAATGATAACACCCCACCCTTTCACTTTTCGTATTTAGGTTATATATATAATTATTTTCAGATTATATAATAAAAAATATTTGTTTTTTTTAACAATATAAAATCAAAATATTATTTTTTTATTAATTATTGACACATAAAAATAAATTGTTTTAATTAAATAATGTTAGTATCAAAATGCCTTTCAGAATGATACTAGATTACAAATATTAACTTATCTTAACCAGCATTTAAATGGTAAATATTTCTTGAGATCTTTATACATAAAAATGATTTATTGAATTCAGAAATATACTGACAAAAATTAGTAAGCTCTCTTTTTTATTGTATTTTGCTTATATTAATTTTTTTTATTAGATAATAAATAAAATAATAAAAAGTTTTTGAAAAAAAAATTTTTTCTTTAGCAAAAAAATAAAAACAAAAAAAAAACATTTTTTTTATCAAAACAAAACAAGAAATTATTCTTATAAAAAAAAATTAAAATTAAAATAATCTTAGCAAAGATTTTTACAATTTGCTATATCCATGAATATACAGAATGATTAATCCAAGAATTTACCATTAAAAAGATTACTGCATTATCTAGAATTGATAATAATGTCCTAATGAAAGTTATATATTTAAAAGTTAAGACATTTATTTCATCAGATCAAAATATTGAATCTTAGATTATAGATTTTGATACTAGTAATATAGTTTCTTTGAAAAGAAAATTTGTTACATATTCTAGATATTATTCTGTATGTAATTAATTTCATTTTATGTTATTTATCAAATTCTTTTAATCTTGTTAATTAAATTAATATTTATTTTATTATAAATGAAATAACTAGGTAAATGCTATATTAATAAAAATTATACAGAATTTATATTATGATATTATGCTATCTATTAAATTAAATATAATAATATTAGAGCATATAATTAGAACTATAAAAAATATAAATGGGAAATTACATCTTGATTTTTATGTTGAAGAGAACTTAAGTGAAAGAGAATAGTATGAATTTTGAATTGATGCATTTATGATCTCAATCTAAAGTATTTTATGAATAAGATTAATTTAATAAAATAAACTATGAGATTAATAATTACTATATTAGTAGATATATTTTATCTATGATTGATAAAATCATCTAAGATAAAATGATTCCTAAAAAGCATACGTTTAAACTTAAAAACATTTTGTTGATTTTTACTAATTGAAATAATAATAATAGTCAACAAGCTTTAAATATACTATAATTTAATATTATCATTAAGTAATAATCGAATAAATCATACCTCTAAGATGCTACTTCAAAATAAGGTAGAAAACTTTAAGTCAAATGAATGGAATTAAAAATAGGTATGTCTCTGAAATCTTAGAAGCAAATTCTATCCTATTAGTAGTTGCCGATATGATCTTCACAACTACTACTACTACTAATCTATAATTGATAATAATGCTTTATAAGAAGAATAGTTATTTTATTCCTAAATTTATTTGATTAAAATTTTAAATTTTATTTTTTGTTATTTTAAATTTTTAGTTTTTTTTTTATTTATTTAACAAAATTAATAGCGAAGCTAATTTAAAAATTTTTGTATTTTTTTTTGAATTTATATAAAAAAAGAAAATTAAATTTTAATTTATTTATTTTTTGTAAACAAATAAAAAATTGATTTATTATAAAAAATAAAACTTTATTTTTTTTTTTATATTACAATCTAAAACAAAAATATTTTTGCAATTTTCCTATAAAATCTCTCTTATCATCATTTTTAAAACAATAAAAATTAAATTAAAAGCGTTTAATATACCATATCAGGACATGCTCTTTTTTTGTAGATTTTGATTCTGAGTTTCTTGAAAGATTATTTTAGTAGTATAGGGATGTAGGTTAGTTATTCACCTATAAAAACGTATATTAACATTTTTTTTCTGTTTTTTTTTTTTATAGATTTTAACTCTGAAATCCTTAAAAGATTAATTCAATAATATGGATAAGATTGTTTATCTAAACTCATTTTGGATTTGACAAAATATTTAAATTATAATTTCACTAATTTTTTACTAAAATTTTGATACAGTTTTACATTTTTATAAGCTTTAATATAGTTTTACCTTTTCTAGAATTTTGCAAATTTTTTAATAAGATTTAATATAACTTTGCTAAATTTTACTTTTTTTTATTTAGATAACTTGCAAAATCTCTAAGTTTCATCTAGCAATCTTAAATGTAAGAAATGCAAATTAATTATTTACCTATAAAAATGTATGCTAAAATTCTTTTTCTACCTTTTTTTTGTAGATTTTGATTTTGAAATCCTTGGAAGTATAAAAATTTAAAA